AATAATAATTAATAAGACAAGAAAACTATGTTGATGGGATGTGTTGAATTATTAGCAAGTGCAATAATTAGTGAGGTCAATTGCGGGCCCATCATTGTAATTTTCGATTGACACCTCCTGCATTGACTTTTATTCCTTCGTCAATCGTAACAGAAATCAAGTATTATATAACTTAAAATAAATTAAATTACATAACTAAATTATTAATTGAAGGGTATATTTTTTTAAAAATGGAGTGGATTTGAGAAGAAAAGAAAATAGAGTAAAAAACCTGTGCTCTTAACAATTGCGCATATGCATTTTCTTTGAAAGAAGCCAAATTTGACTAAAATATAAACTTAGTTTATTTCCAAGCAAAATTTAATATATTATTATAAAAGGGCAAGAGCGATAGGATAAGATAGTCATGCCGATGAGTGGGTGTTGAATTATTGGCAAGGGAAATAATGCAGTGAGGTCGACTGCAGGCCGGTTGTCGCTGATACAGAAAAATGATAAAGCTACACAGAAGTTAAAATTTTCTGTCGCAAGGACTATTTTGCCCCTGTCATTACCGAAATCTTTCTTCGTCCCTTGCTTCCAATTTGGTGAAGTTTCGACGGCACCTCCCGCCTGCATTGACTTCAAGTTAAGTCAAGTACATCGTCAATGGCAATTGGCAACAAAAAAATAATGAGTACTTTTTCGGACTCTAACCTCTCTCGACTAGGATCGGTGTATGTGCACAGGGAGATCCACGCAAACTTTTTCTTACCAAAAAAAGGTTAAAAAGAAAAAAAATTGAAACCCTGAAATAAAGTTATCATTCAATTTTTACAGTTCGTGAAACTGATTTCATGAATAAAAAGGAAGGGAAAAAAAATGTATATTCGGCTAAAAAGAAAAGAAATAAGTTTGAAAATACAGGGATAACTAATAGGTAAGAAAATATTATACAGTCTTGAATGTATTAAATTATATAACTAAATTATTAAATTAATAATAAATTTTTAAAAAATATATTTAGTTTGAGAAAACATTTTTTTATTAGGTTTAAAAAATTAAAAGGAAATGAAAGAGAAGGAAATTATTTATTTTATTTTTTAATTTGTTTGTTTATCCAAATTAGTTTTTCAAAAGAATTAAACTTTATTTGCTAAAAATTTTAAATATTCTTTACATATTTTTTAATTGTG